GATTTGCACCTGTAATCATGGATTGTCTTGGATTTGTTGTATTATCAGAATTTCGAGGAATTTGCTGATTTTGAGGATTTTGTGGATCTTGAGGAATTTGTGGATTTTGCGAAAATTGTGGATCTTGAGAAAATCGTGGATCTGACTGAACATTATATTGATGACCGCCAAATCGTGGAGGATATTGTCCATAATGCGGCTGCATATATTGTTGATGTTGTATATACTGTTGATGTTGATATGGCGGTTGTTGTGTTTGATTAGGCTGTTGAAACTGAGGTGAATTACCAAAATTTATAGGTTGAGTTAGAAGAGGTGGGCTTTGTGGCGAAGGTGGTCGTTGAGAATATGTATTATGATTTTGACTTGCTTGATCTTGACTACTGCTTGATACATTTTCATTGAATTCTGTCGATATTTCGCTTTCATTAATATCTTTAGAATATTGAGTTTCTATAGCATTAGTAATGTCCTTTGTTACTGTAGGCATAGGTTTGTGTGGTTTAGGCGAAATCAAAGGTGGAAATGGTGGATCAGGTGTGACAGAACGAGACCGCTCTGGTGTCAAAGAGTCAGAATATTCTTCAGACACTCTATCGCTATAATTTCTTTGAGAATGACTGGGAGGAAGCGGCCTCGGACCTATAATGGATCCTGTTCTAGACATGCGTGTACCATTATCCCTGTTATTTGATATATTTTGATTTTTTTCAGTCATTCTGTAAGTTTTTTTTAATAAAAGGATAAAATTAAATTGTTTGACAACGATTAAAATTCTGCTAACGGTTTTTTATTTCGATATCGGTTGTGAATAAAAAAGATTGGACCATTTATATTAGTCTGACACAGATTTATTTATATAATTGTGCATCTTGTTCCGGTTTACCGTTTGAAAGTAGATCGAAAGCAGATCGAAAGCGTGTTAAAACAAATTTCTACGATAATTCATTGTTTTTCATTTGTCATTCCCGATGTTAACCGACTTAACCTATTTATTATCATAAAAGACTGATTAATGAGTCAAGTTGATTTCATCCTTAGCTACGTATAATAATGTTTTAAAGACTTTAATTATTAACGTTAATAACAATCATAATTAGGGGTTGCGTACCAACACAGGCACTGGTAAAACATAGGGCATGGGCACTGTTTTAACAGTGCCCGTGCCGGCATTTGCAGAACCCTAACCCAAACCATAATGATGTTTTAATTCAA